CCCCCCTCCCCCCCCCCCCCCCCAAAAAAAAGTCCAGTGATTTGAGAACAATATGACAGCAGAGGCAGGGCCTATCTGACTGTGAGAAGGGGACAGAGAAACCTGTTCTACTGCAGACATAGACACACTGACAAAACATCAGCAATTCCCACACAACAGGGAGCACATACACACAATGGAACAGGACTTCACACAGGCATTAGGGTCAATGGGCTTGGACTAGGCCATTTGAGGTTTTGGTAAGAAAGGGGGCACACTCCAGAATAAGAAGAAACAACATAACATCCCATCTTCCCCCTGCAGGTCAGCTTACGTGGAGAGGATGGGACAAATGCTGCCCAAGATTCACTACTTTAGTGACTAAGAGGTGAAAGCCTGGCAGGTGCTGCAGTCATCAAGTCCACCTAGCCTAGACAGAAGCAGCCCCAATGTCATTAGCTGAAAGCTCCCACTCCTGGGAATTCCAGGGTGGCCAGGGTTAAGGTTAGGTCATGCAGATAAAGAGTACCAGTCCCTCCCTCACCAGGCACAGGCCAGCAGGTTCCAAAGTGCAGAGAGCCAGGTCAGTGACCAAGAAGGCAAAGGTGGTGGAAGGGGGAATTCATTTAACCTGCCTCATGCTATAGTCCCCTGCCCTCACCCATTCCAGCACAGTCGCTCCCTTTCCCTCAAGATCTACTCTGCCAACAATGCACAGGCTACATGTACAACTACGGGGTCTAAGAGGACTCTACTACTATCTCACTCTTTTTTCCTCCTCCTGCCAATGGACAGAACTCAGCACTGCAGAGATGTGGATATGGACAGAGACAGGTCACTTACAAAATCCCCTTTAAGACAGCTGGAAAAGGTACATGTACTCTCACATCTAGCATGTGGCACAGAAGCAACCAGACAGCAAGGCCTCCTCTCAATTAACAGCAGCCTGCTCGAATCCTACTTTCCACTTTTCTGAAGTGAACTCTCATATTCTACTGCTCCCACAATGTTATGGCCCAACATCATCCCCATTACACAGAAGGGCAGGGAGATTCCCCACTGAAGACTAAAGGCAGGCAGAGGGGAGACGCATCCCATTCCATGGACAACAGGCTGGATAATCAATAATAAAGTTAATCTCTTGCATTCAATCCCATGAAGAGCCTAGCAATACTTCTAGCATATGGTCTGGTACCACCGGTACTGAGCCACCTGTGCAGTGCAAGCTCCATTTCCACCCCCACTTCCTTCCAACTGTGAAGCTTGTATCCTACTCTGCCTAATAAAGAGAAGAGCATGTGCATGTTCCACAGGAGCAGTTCCCCAGTCTGTCTGCAGATGGAAGGAGGAGGAGAAAACAGAAAGGACGGAAAAGCAAAAGAGAAGAATGGCCACGGGACTCCCCAGCCAAATCCTGACACTTCTGTCATGAATTCTAGGCAACTCTATCTTTACCTGCCATCAGCAGATAGAGCCCAGATTGTCAAAAACAGACTGGACCCAACTCCCCAAGAGATTTCATACTGCACCAAACCAGCCTACCTTCCTCTTCCACATCCAACTGGCAGCATTCATTGAGCACTAACATTCTCCAGGGAGAGGACAGGTGAAGCATCTGCCCCAATGTAGCAGTCTCAGGGAATTCTTCCCACCTGGAGGGCAAAGCCAGCAGCAAGATAAATGGCTTGTGCTGGAACGGTTTGGGAGAGGACTGCCCCATGCTACACTCACACCAATGGGTAGAACAGCAAGGTAGAGAAGTTCCTTCTCCCGAACTGCAAGGATGAGGGGGCAGGAATTAGATGTGACCATCCACTGGAGGGGGAGAAAGAAACGGGAGTTGTTAATGTGTGCACCCTTCAGGAAGCAAGGCAGGGAAACAGATCACCCCCCACTGTCCAAACAGGCAAGGCCAAGTCCAATTGTGACTAGTTTTAAAGGAGCAGCTTCTAAAAAGGAAGTAGGGAAGCTGGATGGAAAAAAAAAAACATTACTGGAGTGGAAGGGAAACCAGTTGAGATGCAAGGCAATTAGGAAGGTGGAGAGCCCACCTCCAGCTGTATTTTTGTTTTCCCTAACTTGACGGCTTTCCCGTTGCATTTGCAGGAAGAAGATACATCTGAGCAGATAGGCCCAAGGTGGGGAACAGAGTAAAGGGCACCATGGTGCCAAAGTGCAACAACTAAAGAAGGACAGGACACTCATTCTGAGTTCAGGGCTCGTACCATGCAGTAAGAGGGGCGGCCAGGGCTGCTCCCCACCAGCAAACAGGGAGTTCGCTCGCTTAGTAGATTTTTTTAGCCCACAGAAAGTTGGTTTGCCTAGCCAATGAGAAGTGATGCTCTTCAGTGAGACTGGCCAATTGGGGAAAGTGCTGCTACACAATGGGCACTTTAGCAGGAGCAGCTACTCTCTGTTACTGGCTGCTCAGGAGGCTTCTCTAGTTTGATGTCGATCACTGGAGATGATGAATTAAGGAAACCATCTGGAATAGTGAAAGCAGCACAGACATGAAATGGGTAAACTATTATAAATCTCCAGCCTCTCTAGAACAGTGGGCCCTTGCAGACCTTAGGCCAATGACTCTCAAGAACAGTGCTGTGGCACCCTGGGGTGCACCTTTCAAGGGTGATGCAGGCTGCCGTGTAATGTTAGCACTGTTACGTGTGCACACAATTCACATTCACATAAGACCAGAGATTTTAAACAGGAATCCATAGTGTTAAAAATATTCTGCCCTGTTGTGGTCTTTCTGAGCATTCTGTAACAAAAGAATTGTTCTATTATTTTTTCTGTATTTTCTATTATTTTTTTCTTTCATAAAAACAAGTAAAAACTAAGAGCTCAAGGGGTGCCTTGAGCCTAAAAAGGCTGAGAAACTTCCTGAAGCAAACAAGCCCAGGGCTGGAGACTTGTGCTTTTAAGGATAGCACCAACTACAGCTACTTAGGTGGCTTGGTACAGATTTCAAGACAAGCCTCATGAGGTTTAAGGTATTTTAAAGAAGTTTCCAGAATCAAAAGGTAGTAGCTGGTGGAGCTAGCAGAGAGCTGCCAACTCTATGATAGTCAAAGCAGAGAAGTGATACTGAAGCAGCAGCCACAAATCTTATGACCGCCATCCTATACTGTTGCTATACAGGCCTTGTCCAACATACCACAAACTCCCCACCTAGTGCAGCCAGCACTTAGTTGATAGCATGCTGTAGCTAATCTATACATTTTTACTGTAAATTTAACCTAGTTTTGCTACTATCAAGCACTGCTTGATAGTCACCCTACCATGCATACTTCCTGGGGACAGCTTGCTTCCAGTCTACCTCATGCTCTGTTACCAGATGCATTTGCACAGGAAGCCACTACTAGGAGTAAGGTAACTACATAGCTAGTTGTCTGCAAAACAAACTATGACTCTGCTCCCACCTCTTTGTTCGAACCAATCATTTACCATCTGAGGCTAATGGGCTCTAGTTTAGACCCACTTGGCAACTCCCTCTCTTATAATTCCAGAGAATCTCAGCCCCCCTGCATGAGCAGTGAAGGTATGCTTGTGAAGCAGACATCACACAATAACACTAGGGGACAAAGTTCACCAAGAACTTTATGGGGAACAGGCCAGTCTCTAGGTATCTGTTGTGTATGTGGGACAGCCTCAGGCAAAGCAAAGAAAGGGAAATAGACCATGTTGTTCTGAAATATCACACTAAGCTACAAATAAGCACTAGTGTTCCAGTGCCACAAATGGCCAAAAGATCTGGCTACAGGTGCTCAATTTATACATGCAGGAAAGCATCATGCTAAGAGAGAGAAAATCACGAAGTAGCAAGCAAGGATACTGTCTTCTTTGCTCTTTTCAGGTGTGCTGTCCATCCCAGGTAACGCAGCAGCCACACGGCGGAAAAGCTGGAAGACAGCAACATGTGAACTGACAACCTGTCAGAAGTAATTAATGATTAAGCCCCACATTTCTCTCTACAGCTGCTGCTGAAAAACCAAGGTTTTGTAAGAGGTTTACATGGGCATTTGGCTAGCTATGCAGTGAATAAAAGACACTGTGCAAACCTTATCCCCAAGGACTTTACCACTAGATTTCGTAAGACTGGACTAGCATTTAACAGTCTACCCAGTATCTATAAAGCATGCATCTGCAGCACAATTTTAGTATAAATGCTATTTCTTTAACTGTACCATAGCAGTGCTCCATATACTCCACTACATGACAGCACACACAAGTAATTAAGAGCCACTTGGCAAAAAGTTCTTTCTTACCTTCTCAGTGTCACATGGCGCTGTTTAGTACGTTTAACTAAAGTCACAGCTACCATTAACTTAATTTAAGGTCTGTTGCAGCCTGATCTAGAGATCTAGCCTTTATGGTAAAAACTACCTCTAAAATAGTGAAACAGGAGTGGAAACCCCAACTTGACCATGCTGCATTTAGCTTCTCTGGACTTTGAATGAAGATAGAAAGAAAAATCCAGGAAGATTGTTTCTCAATACCCCCTGCAAAAAGTGCAGGATACATGTTTTTGCTCGTTTTCCCAATCACTGTTCAGAGTTCCTCCTGCTGACATCAACAAAGCAGTGCCCCCCTGTGCACAGCCTGCCACATAAGGAGTTTGAACCAGATAAGGGAACACTGACTCTCACATGGATCACGCTACCAAACTAAAAGGAGAAGTTAAGCAAGTGCACCTAACCATAAGCAAGGAAAATGATATAAAGCCCACTAAAAGCAGGACCATCACATCAGGAACACCAAGATCCCAGCAACAATGGCAACCTCTTTGAGGAAAAGGCTGAATCAGAGGAATAATCTTGTTGCATTGCAAGGTGGAACAAGGAACTCTGCGGCTGCTTGCAGGTGTTGAAACAAAACAAAAGAAAACCCCAAAACAGCACTTCATCCTTCAAACTCAGCGCGTTTCTGGACCAAGCCCAGTGCACGCCCAGAAAAGGCAGCACTTTAGCTGAACCCAGCTTGCCCAAAGTCTGTACAGGTTGGGCACTTAAGAGGGGATTTTGGTGCTTTTATCTAATAGCTGATCAAATCAATTTTAACTTAAAAGCACCAAAAAAGCCCACTGGAGCACCCGATCTATATAGATGCTGTACAATTGGGTCAAAGTAACATGCTGCTTCTTCTGGTAAAGACTGGTTTTGTTTTTTGTTGTTTTTTTTTTGGAAGGGGGGGAGGTTAACATCCACTAGCAGCCTGAGTTTTTAAGCTTGGACTGAACCCAGTGGGAGGGGACCCTGAGACCCTACTTGTGCTTGGATGAGGGGACCCTACCTTGTGCTTGAATGTTATGGTGATGGAAGCCACAAGTGGGCAGGAGAAAGGAGGCTGGAAATCCAGTCCGTTCTTATTGTACTTCAGAAGTTAGCTGAGTGATCCCCCCCTACTTCTGAGCTAGGAGTCAGTCTCTTCTCTGTCTTCTCTACACCCCACTATTCTGGGAGTGCCATAATGATGGCACATGCACTAATGTGGTGCTGACAGCTTTTTCCCCGAGTCTTTTTTCTAATTATGAATACTCCCTCAATGCAAGAAGGCAAGTGATCCTAGGATGAACAAAGCAGGACTTGAACAGGCAGCAATAGAGAAACACAACTCAGGTATGACAAGTTTGTGCTAGGCAAGTAAAGCAGTACAACTAAAAGCAGGTCAAGACCCCATAGTTTAACTAGCAGACAGAGATATAGCTAAAGGAGAAAACAAAATTACTGTTTGAAAAGTCACCAAATCTAAAGGGGGGTTCACTCCATCCAGCTTCTTTGCAGCAAGCTGTTAACAGTGCAGGTCATAAATGAGAGCTTTCCTGATAGCAAAGATATTGCTGCTGCATTTACAAGTAAGCATGGAGCCAGGTCGAGTTCCATCCCTGCAGAAACAATCACTGCCTGGGAAAAGATGACTATGGAAGAGAATTGCAGGGATCTGAGGGGAACACAGCAGCCTTATTTAGTAAGCTCTGTCATGCACTTGACATGTCATTGTGTACAACCAGCACTGCCTGGTAAGAGTGTACTCCAGTAAGAGTGTACTCTAACTGCTATCACATGCAGACAGCACCCACTATTAGCAGGGCACAGTGAAGGAGTACCACTGTTCCTATCCCTCACCACACTACTTTTAGATTCTTTCCCCTCAGATCAGAAACTGTTTTGGGGTACATTCAATTTTAGGTTTAACCTTATTGGTGCCCATTTAGCATTTTCTCCTTAGCTCAGCAGGAAACAAAGTCTCCTTTAATTAACAGACATCCACAGGCCACACAGAGAACTTCAAGGATCAGAAGCAAAGAGGCAGAAGCAGAAACAGGGGCTAAATATTTAACACAGCAAAGCCCACACAGCAACAGAGAGCACTGAAAATTGTAACGTTTGCACACAATGCTGATCTACCTGTTTCACATTGTAGCCAGTCTTTGCACTGGTCTCGATAAACATCACATTCAATTCTTTGGCTCTCTGCTCACCTTCTTCCGTGGTGATTTGCCTGGATAAGTACAGACAAGGGGAGAAGAGAAGATGGGCATTAAAGACAGTAGCACTTCACTGGAGGTGCCCTCTTTTGCTATGTCATGGAACACAACACAATCCACAAAAGGAAACCCCATAGCCTCTGAATCTTTCAGACCCTCCCACCATCAGCTTCCTCTGTATACTCCATCTAAGAAACAACCAACCTCAAATGAGCAGCTCAGGAAATATAATGGTAGTCATAATCCATAGGGATGAGTTATGACATTTAGGTCTCATTCACAGCATCCTCACAGTGGGAAAAAGGGCCCCATTAAACTGCACGAAACTGGAATGGTGTGCAGCCATGTAAAGAAGCAGGTCCCCAAAACTACAGAAAGAAACTCCTTCAGATGACAGAAAGGTCACAGAAAAGCTCCAGCAGGGACAGAAATTCAGTAGCAAATAATATGCTGTTGTTTGCAAGCCAAGCACCTGCAAGAGCATCTCTGACCAACATCCTGTACATACCTGTTTCATATTATATCCTGCTTTAGCACTGGTTTCAATATACATCACATTCAGTCCTTGGGCTTTTCTCTCGCCCTCCTCTACAGAAACCTGTCTACAGTAATGAGAACAAATCACAGAAAAGAAAAACCAAAATAAAGGGAAAAAAACTAGACAGAAAATGGCAGGGAAAAAAAACGCAAGGAAACCACCCAGTAACTGAAACAACATTCACCAGGAAGGAAAACACATAGGCCATTCAAAATAAGATGAAGTAAATAAATGGTTCCAATCTCCAAAAATGTCTGAAACTACAACTTGGTAGACAGCTCTTCCCAAAGGGCTAGGGATTTCCTAAGGGGCTTTTCAAGTCCCACCCAACATGGCCAGGCTCAAAACTGACACTAGGACTTTGTCCACGCTAGAATTTCAAAGCATGGGATTTGAGCTAGCCTACATTAAAGGCTCTTGCCTTTCTAGAGTTCACATCATATAGTATTCGCTAGCTCAGCCCTCCCCCCAAAATCTTTTACACCATCTAGTTTAACTGGCTGAGAATTCCTAATATCGCATGCACTTCTATTACAGGAACTTTGCAAGCAGAGTCAAGTCACTGTGTTTCTGTTAGGCATACGAAGAGGCATAAGCTGCCCCACATGGAGTGTCTTCCACTCCTGTCCCATCAGGAATACTGGAGAGGTTTGCATAGGATTTCCCAGTGCTGGAGAGGCATAAGAATGGCACCTTCTAAGAGCTGCTTGATAAAAGTTAGGAAATCCTAAGATCTGAAGTCAGCTTGCCTGACTGCTCCTAAACAAGAGGCCAGAATTATTTCCCACTCCTGGGAAGTATATGTGACAATAACTGCTTAGCTGATGTTATTGTAGGAAGAAAATAATTCTTAGAACTTGTCTACCCATCTTCATTGTGCAATTTTAGGGCAAGACTGATTTGAATCCTCGGCAGCCAGTTTCCTCAACCCAGACCATCTGATATACATATATTACCACCCCCACCACCAGATTTCTGAAGCTCTACCTAGCTAAGATATATGTCTAGTGTTCCTGGAAAGTGTAGTACAAAGCTATTTACAGTGGCTAGGAATGCCATCATAAAGTCAATACTGAGATTGGTCTAACATAAATAAAGGAAGGCTAACTGTACACATGGCCAATGTAAAGTCCTAAGGTGGCACGTCAAGTCTTGCCTCAGTTTACTTACTGCCAGATGATTTAACAAAACTGCATGCTCTTTTCATAGGGCACCTATGAAAGCTGAAAACAGCATGGGATATTCACCCTTGTAGATGGGAACTGGTAAAGGTAAACAGAGGCCTCCTGGCAGCAATATACATAGTCAAAATGCCTAACTATAGTGTTAGGTGGCCAGTCAGGCAACACCAGAAGGACAAGGAATGGAGAGAATATACATTGTATATTCCATAGAGAGTGCTATGCTTCATGGAACAATTAAAACAAAAAAAATTAAAAATATTAGAAGTACCAGACAATTGAATAGGCAAGACATTTTGTTATGGTCAATGATAACATAAAACAGAGTGAAGAGACAGCAAATTCAGGCTGTTTAACTGAACCTTCAGAGGCTAGAGCAAAAAATGTAGTTGAATAAGTTCTTCTGTTTTACAAAGCTCACAGCTTGAAGGTTACCCGTCAAACAAAAGTGCATTGTGCACAGCCTGAGGCAGAGGGTTTTAGTTTGGCAAAACTGTATTCAGCTCTGCAAGGTCCAAGTGTTTTCCCACTTCAGACATGTGAGAAGTTTTACACCAAAACCCCCAAAATAGCTTCATTTGAATAAGGTCTATTTTGTAGCAGGTTTGATATATTAAAGGTAGTGTTTTTAATTGGAGTTTTTTCAAATAAGTTTGTGCTGAGGAGTTTGAAGAGTATGGTGCAGACTAGCCAAGTGCAACAGAGTCTAGCATTTGATATTCTAACTGTGGGTGAGGTTACACACCATGAAACAGACACATCAGCCATTTGCATCCATCTACATTACTTGTACAGCCACCACTGTGGTATGCAGGTGCCATTCAAATCTCAATGCACTTTGAAAAAATGAATCAATTCTCTGTAAAAACATGTATATGTTCATTACACAATACAATAAATCTATATCATATTATATCATATTAGCTTTGTTTATCTGAGATTAAGGACACTAATGTGATATTTAAAAAAAAATCACAATTACAAATCTCTGGTTACCTAGAAAGCTCCTCTTTCAGACATTGAAACAACACCCCCAGGTTTAAAATAATCTTCAAAAACCAAAATGCCTTAACTTGCCAATAGTAGTTCAGATTAAACCCAATCACATCCGAGTCTAGTTTTTCACAACCTCATTTTGGACAGCTAAGTCTGACCTGCTCTGCTTCTGCTGAGAGCAGCCATAACACTGCAATGTTCTGTGCTCATTTAATACAGCGGGAATGATGTTTTGAGGCAGATTTGTTATAAAACGTCCTTATGTCTGGTGCCAATCATGGGTGCTTGCATACAACAAGAATCTAGTTATCTGCACTGGACACTAGGATTAATAATTTCCTGACTTATGCAAGGCTACTTTTTTGTTTTTTAAAGTCCTTGCCTCTCAAAACAGTACTTGGCACCAAACTGTGAAAGGGAAGACAGAACATTGTTGCATTAAAGGAAGACTATTATTGTAATCTGTAAAAATTGTTCACCAAAGAAGTTTACTGCATGTTATAAACACTGAAATTAAATGCCAAGTACAATGGGAATTTCAGCCAAACACTGTAGGCTAGTTGAGCCTTTATAAGCTCCTTGCAATTACAGATCCTTTTAAAAGGCCAGCCAGCCAGTTTCCCAGCACCTGCTGGTCAGACTGGGGAGGTCACCAATACCCCTCCATTACCTCTTGTCTGCCAGATCAGTTTTATTCCCCACCAACATGATGATGACATCACTTCCTCTCTCTGTTCGAACATCATCAATCCACTTGGAGGTTTGCTGGAAGGAGTTCAGGTCTGGGGGCAGAGGAGAAGATGAACCATGAGGAGGACAACAAACTTCTTTCACATACAGGGAATGAAGCTTCCAGAAAAGACTATAATAAAGCTAGCACGGCTGTGCCCACATACTCTGGCACATCCCCAACACTGCACAAAAAAGGGAACAGATCTAATTGTTTCTAATGTTAACTCTCTTTCTATAAATACTCACAGCCACTATGTAATAGCCCCTCTCAAGCGCAGTATTTCAAACACAAGACACCAAAGCATCACTCACTTGTAATGTCATAGACTACCACAGCAATGGTGGAGTCGCGGATGTAGCTGGGAATGAGGCTGCGGAACCGCTCCTGACCTGCTGTGTCCCAAAGCTGCAGCCGAACCTGCTGGTATCAGGCCAGGGAGAGCAGACAGCAAGAGAAAGAAAAGAAAGGAGGAAACTGTCCTTTAGAGAAAAGGCTATTTGCTAAAATGAACCGATCACAGCTCAGCCTGAGGACTGAAGCCTGGCCTCGCCAACCAGCCCCCATATACCCACAAAGCAGTGAAACTCTAGTTCCTCAGTCTTCCCCAGAGAGTAGGCAGACACCTTTTAATTCCCCACCCCCCAGTCTTTCTGGAAGCCCTGCATAGGTCCCTCACTCCAATGAGCTCTGCATTGTGGTAACCACCCATGGTAGCCAGTGCTGTTTAACACTCGGAGGTAGTAAAAGCAAGCCACAGTTGGCCTTCCCCCTCCCAGGGCTGTGTATGCTGCTTCCACAACACCCCTAGCCTACAGAGACAGAATCTCAGATTTGAGCCCTCTGTGCAAGTCATGTTCATGCTCAATGAAGGGACAAGGTAGTGAAATGGCATCCAAATTCTCCTCAGCATCAAACAGCCACAAAAGGACAATTAGAGCTTTTGTGCAAGATGAAACCAGTCATCAACTTGCTCAAGAGGTTTCAGCATGGCCAAAAGCACCTGCTGTGAACTCTAGCCTACAGAAGGCATTTGATGCTCCCTTCCCAGAAGGCATGAAAGGCAGAAACAAGCATCAATTCCTGGGTAAGAGGAGGGTAGCTTAGTCTCTAACAGAGAAGCCACACTTACTCTGTCAGAACACCCCAAGTAGAAAGGAAGCCAGAGACACCAGAACATATCAAGGTACTTTCCCCTCCCTCACAACCCCAGGAGGTTCTTTGGTAGATGTCAAAGAACCGAGTCATTATACCTAACAGACCAAGACCTATTGGTATGAAATGGCAGTTGTCAAACAAGGGATCCAGGCATTACAGTAGCCAGTGCTGGATAAAGAGCCTTCAGTAGTTTCACACCCAAAAGCCTGTTTCCCCTCACAAGAGCTGCAAATTAGTTCTTTGCAGCATGGGCACTGTTAAATAAGCTGAAGGGAAGAAAATGCTAATATTGGCATTACCAGCAATCTCATTCCCAGGGCAGATTGGTCATTCTTTTTTAAGAAAGAGACTTGTTCTTAAGTAGATGCTTTAGCAGAACACTTCCCTTTAAACATCCTGCCATAAGCAAATTCACACTAACACAGTACCAGTATTAGAATCCACTCAGTCCTATGGCTTGAGGAACCCAGGTCTAACCTGAAGTGATTAGCTCTCAGATGAAGTGTTCTCCCCTTTTCTGTTTTTTGCTAGTGTGGTCAGTTCCCCACAATGCCAAAGAAAATCCAGAAAAGTGAATCCCTGGTCCTTCGCTACAAAGAACAATAGTGCTGGTGCTGCAGGTTTCCAACAATAATTTTGAGCTTCTACTCCCTATTTTCACAATGAGTCTCTATGGTGGACCACAAGGAGCAGCTGCTAACCAACTCCCATTCACTATAAATGCCTAACCAAAAAGGTGTTTAAAATGTTCCAAACTCCAGCCTCTGACTCGAAAGTATACCAAAAGAGTGCACCATTGAATAAAAGGCAGAAGGCACAGGCTGGTACAGCAGAGATCCTGTTCTACTGAAGCATCATCACTGCTTATAAAAAATGGTAATCACTGAACTAACAGGCAGGCATTTTCCAGACAATGCAAGTCTGGCCAAGTATAAGAATGCACCAATACTGAGCCAAGGATGCTCAACCACATCAAAAGAAAAACAACCCTGATTAAAAAAAAAGGAAGAAAAAACTGAGTTGCAATACTGTATTAGTTTCCAAAAGTGAAATCTGATGCTCAGCCACTTCTGGGCAGAAGAAGTACCACAAAAACCCAGGCAGGACACTTTTCTAAAGGCATTGTCAAAAATTCTCCTTCTTGATCCAAAAGAAAAGATCCTTGCTTAGGCCTTGCTCTCACCCAGTGTAGACTGTGGTGTACACAGCTTTATTTTAGTGTACTAAAGCAGGCTAAGACTTCAGGAGGAAGTCCTGTTATTGAGGAAATTGACCTCCTTGAGATCCACAAAATCCAGCTGTCACTCTTGACTTACCAAAGATGGTCTAAGGTGACTGGATCAACTGAACGTGACACTAGGGTGGAATGAAAATACACTTATGTTCTATATGTATGTGTGGGAAAGACAGATAAACAGATATATGGCCTTCACCACCACCACTCACCTTCCATTGTGATCAGGGGCTGTGCAAGGGTAATCTTTTATCCCAAGGCCAGAGAGGTATGGCTCAGAGTCTGCATGCAATTCCCATGTGCAAAGAACAAGCTGAATAGCATGTTTTGCCCCTGAAAGTACTCATCCCCGGAAGGGTGCAGGGGAGAAGAAAAGTGCCACTGCAGACTGTGCACTCTGTCACTCAAACACAGATACACCTGTTCCCAGTATATATTCCCCTCTATACTAAAAATCCTCCAAAAGCTATGCATAATGCTCTATGACACTTGAATTGTATTTTGTACCATACCACACTGCCTTTCCTGAATGGAGCCTTAGATACACATTCCAAAGCAGAGCATGCTTGGGACTTTAAAGGCTGTTCAACCACTAGAAACTCAGAGGTGTAATCAAATAAAAGGATACGTGTTAACATTCCACTGGCCCAGCTTCTCAGAACACTGTACCACCCCCTCCAATTTAAAAAATAACATGCAAAAGAAAAATTCTACTGCTTTGTTTTTATTTGGGCTTTTTCTACATGGCATTGTACCATCTGTATAACCCCTCTGTGTGGACATTTATTCTACTCTTTTGGCTACCCTATAGATCAGCATTTCTCAACCCATGGGTCATGAGAATATATGAAAGGGTTGCAAACCAACTTTAAAATAGATCAACACACTTTAAAAATGGATTCTCCTTTAAAGGAGAAAAATGTGGGAAACCGTGGCTTTTTGCTTGCAGGCTGAGTTCCAGCCTGCCTGGGGCCACCCCTGCTCCTCACACACCCTCCCACCCCACACACTGTGGAGCAGGGAGCAGTGGGTCAGGAGTGAGGTGCACTGGGTCAGAGCTGGCCACTGATGTTTACAAATGAGTCCTGGTACAAAAAAGGTTGAGAACCACTGCTATACATAACAGAAGCACCGATATCAAAGTAAGTGGTATGACTAGAGCAAATTAATATCTTAGTTTATGTCAAGAACTGCTTTGCAGACAAGGCCTAAGTTTTGAATGATAGAGACCATCTGAACAATCAGCATTTTCACCTCAAAGTTCTTATTTCTTACAAATAAAAACAGTAATATGAAAGTCTTGTTCTTCCTTTTCACCAAAGTGGATGTCTGAGCAACTCAGGTATAAATTGTAAGCTTAACTCCTGAATGCTCAGACAAGTTATAAATTAGTTTTTTCCTGTATTGTAAGCAAGCAGGTATCATGCAGTTTTAAAGAATGTGAAAAAGTTACTTTTCTACCCCCACAACCCAGTCAGGTTTAACCACCTGTAGGGGTGCACCAATAAAGATTTTTTTTGGCCGATATCGATGGCCGATTAACCAGCTATATAAGCTGATACCCATCTGATTGCCCATATAGAGCCCAGCAGCTTGGAGAGCATCTGGCCAGTAAGTCTGTGGTGGGGGAAAAGGGGTGTGGGGCTGGGGGGTGCAGATCGAGGCGCCCATGGTAACGTAGGGATTGGGGCTGAGGCAGGGTGCGGGATGGAGAGGCAGCTCCCACCACTGGATACACCCCCATAGGAGGCAGGCAGGGGCCTGTGTCCCCCAGATTTTTGCATGGGGTAAGGATGGGCTGGCCACTACAAGCTCAGGGCCAGGGACTGGGGCTGGCCTCTTCCTGGTAGGGGGAGGGGGCTGGGCTAGGGCTGGGCTCAGGGCACGCGGGGGCAGGGCGTGCGGCAGCGGTGCTGGGAAGGGGGCTAAGGCCACCCCAAAATTTATCAG